CCACCACCCTACTACTACAAGTCTCCTCCTCCACCTTCCCCACCACCTCCCTCACCCTACTACTACAAATCCCCTCCTCCACCATCTCCGTCACCACCTCCACCATACTACTACAAGTCACCACCACCACCTTCCCCATCTCCTCCACCACCCTACTACTACAAGTCTCCTCCTCCACCTTCCCCACCACCTCCCTCACCCTACTACTACAAATCCCCTCCTCCACCATCGCCTTCTCCTCCACCACCTTACTACTACCACTCTCCACCTCCACCGGTAAAGTCTCCACCTCCACCCTATTACTACAACTCACCTCCTCCACCAGTGAAATCACCTCCTCCCCCAGTATACGTTTATGCTTCTCCACCACCTCCAACTCACTACTAAGTATTTCCAGGAGCTCAACCATTCTCCCAAATCAATCAAGTGAGTAGCTATTTGAATTGTGAATTTATATGTGTATGACTTTTTTCTTATGAATTATGTCTCTAATCTTCTATTTGGTTGTTTCTATTCAGATTTCAATTTGAAGCACAAAATAAAGGATGGTTTCTTAAGAGAAAGATTTAAACTTCAATGGTACAAATCAATTAATTTATTGAATGAGATCTTCTGTGTTACAATTGGAAGATTGATACTTTGTGACATGGACCAGTTTGCTTCAACTTCTCCTCTGGCCTTCTTGATCATTGTTCTCATTGCTTGTTCATGGGGGAAAAAGCTTCAATAACTTAATTATTCCTTAAAATAAGTTATTAGTTATTGGTTCTTGATATTGTATATGAGCTTTGATGTTTTATTCATTTATCCATTCATTTCCTATTAGTTATTCTATGTTGTTTTCTTGTACTTTGTACTTCGTGTACAAATCATGAATAAGAAGATTAATTTTATTATATTCACTATTTTTTTCAAAAAATGAGTCAAGCCTATTTACACCGTCATTTATTCAACAAATGAGTCCGCCCATTTAAATCAAGTGAGTGTTATTGAAAAAACTAGTTTTCTTCTTTCGAAAGCTCTTACATACAAAGATTTTACGGAGTAAACTTGAACACCAACTAAAGATTAACATTATTATAAGCTTGATGTAAGGCTCCATAACATTTTGTAATAATGTTTGAAATATGTTTACAAACATACGATATGATACAAGACTTAGACAAAATAAATGCATGAGATCCCAGATCTCCATACACAAATGCATGAAGTTCAATCATATATGCATGAACTTCATGTGAATATATCTAAGTTTTACCAAGTCAAACTTAAAACATATATATTTGAAAGTCAGACTCGCCTAAAGTTGATTTAAAGCGCTTAAAAGATATTAGGTCTTGAAATGGGCTATATGTGTAGTTTGATCATAAAATAAGTCGATGCACTTGTCCAAATGCTTAAAAAGGGCCTAAATTTTAACACTTAATTTTTGGAGATTGATTTAAGGGAAAAGGGTCTGATATACCCCTCAACTTTGTCATTTAGAGCTGATATACCCCTCGTTATGAAAGTGGCTCATATATACCC